GATCCAGTAGCTTTTCAGATGCAGGTTTAATTGGTGCACAATTACACCTTATCATGGAGAGAAATATGGAATCCTGGGTTAAAATATTAACTGGATATGATGTATTACAACCACCATCTAGCCCCCTTCCAGCCATAAATATAGTCAAATGTGTAGCTGCTGGCTCTGCCATTGATCTGCCTGCTTTGCTGACCTCATCAGAGGTTATTCTCTGAGCCAATCACTATGCTTTTCCATAGGAAAGTATTGGATTGGCTGAGCTTGTTAAGGATGCAGATCGGGGCAGAGCCAGCACAAGCCAAACACAGCCCTTGCCAATCTGCATCTCTACATACATATAGATACAATGAATCAATGCAGGGCGTGGAGACACTGAATGTCAGTCACACTGTGCAGCACTGCCACAGGAAGCACCTCCAGTGGCTATAATGTAAACACTGCATTTTCTCTGAAACAGTGTTTACTGGAAAATGCCTGACGGAAATGATTGTGAAAGATTTCATGTACTTACGTGTATACCTTCAATTGTACCTTCTCCCTGCTGTTCAAATACTTGTAATAGGTTGTTAAGTATGTGTTGATAATTGTAGTTGTCTACCGAACGAGAGACCACCTACCCTGGGTAGCAAGCAGCATTAGAACAGGGAGAAAACCGCAACTTAATTGCTCCTGGGTGGCCGCCATTCAGCATACGAACACGTGGCGAGAACAAAGGATGGCGGCCATCTTAAAACTCACAAACGCGGTCAGCGGGGCGTACGCATGAATTGCCTGGAACTATTTTCGGCATGGCAAACATGCGAACGCCCGGTCTTCATGGAAGTCCTGGATGTATACGTTCCCCTCTACGAATCAAACTGGCATTCGGTAGATAGAATCTACTGAACGAGGGGGAACATTCGTATGTAACCAGCTATACCATACGAACGGTGGTTTTCGTGTAGTTGGACGCGAAAAGAGACCAGCTCTTGCTACTGACTTTATGGAACTCTAGCTCGGATACCTCCACATGGCGATCCGGTCAAAACTTCTACACAATGCGACACGGAAACTACCGAACGGAAAGTCGTGAGATTTGGATATGTGACTACCAGTATCCTCAGCTACCCAGGGATGTTAAAATTATAATTGTATGTGTTATGGAAAGTACCGTATTTTTCACTCCATAAGACGCACTTTTTTTCCCCTCAAAAGTGAGGGGAAATGTCTGTGCGTCTTATGGAGCGAATGTGAAGAATTACTTACCTGTCTTGGAGCGTGGGCCGGCTTCACAGCGCGCTCCGCGGTCCAGGAACTTCTATTTCAGGTTCCGGTTTTCGGCGGGACTGAAAGGAAGTGTGCACACTGAGTGTGCACACTTCCTTTCAGTCCCGCCGGAAACCGGAACCTGAAATATTAGTTCCTGGACCGCGGAGCGCGCTGTGAAGCCGGCCCACGCTCCAAGACAGGTAAGTAATTATGGGACAAGGGGAGGGGGAGACACTATGGGACAAGGGGAGGGGAGGAGACACTATGGGACAAGGGGAGGGGAGGAGACACTATGGGACAAGGGGAGGGGAGGAGACACTATGGGACAAGGGGAGGGGAGGAGACACTATGGGACAAGGGGAGGGGGACACTATGGGAGAAAGGGAGGGGAGACACTATGGGACAAGGGAGGGGAGACACTATGGGACAAGGGAGGGGAGACACTATGGGACAAGGGGAGGGGGGACACTATGGGACAAGGGGAGGGGGAGACACTATGGGACAAGGGCAGGGGGGGACACTATGGGAGGGAAAGTGCACTATGGGACAATGGGAGGGGGGGACACTATGGGATCAGAACACTAATGGACAAGGGGAGGAGGGGTTAAAGAACACTATGGGACAGGGTAGGAGGGGTTAACAATCACTATGGGACAGGGTAGGAGGGGTTAACAATCACTATGGGACAGAGGAAAGGGGGGTTAAAGATCATTATGGGACAGGGGAGAAAAAAAAATATTCTGAACAAACTGTCCCATGGTAAGAAACACTATGGAACAGTTTGTTCAGAATATTTTTTTTTTCTGGGTTTCCTCCTCTAAAAACTAGGTGCGTCTTATGGTGAGGTGCGTCTTATGGAGCGAAAAATACGGTACTTTTCTGAAAATTGTTAAAATGTATAATATTTCTGGCCAGCAGATAATTGAGTTTTGTGTATTGTTGAAACTCAATTATCTAGCCTGGCCCAGAGGAGGAGTTTTGTATCACATAAATTGTGTGTCCTGTGTGCCAGTAAAATCAGTCTTGTTCCAGCATTAAGCCTTGGCTCATGTGTGGATTATTCGGCGATTCCAGGGATATTTCTACTTGTGGAGTATTGGGTGATTTTCTTTTATGGGAGGAAGGGAATGCTTGACGGTGATACCGTATACTACCGTCACAATGATTATAAGCTGTAAGTTGTTCTGGTGACTATGTAAGAAATTATGACCCTCTTACAAGGTTATTCTTTTAGGGAATGCATAACAAATAAGACACAAACACAAGTGTATAAAATTGTTAATTTTGATTTAGGATACTGTTACAGATTTTAAAGGAATATACACAATACACATTATATCCATTCAGTCCAAAACCAAAAGATACCTAGTAAAAGGGCAATACTTAGACATTTAAATGAAGATCTTCCCCTTGCGCCTCCATCTTTGGTAGTCTGGGACAGTCTTTCTCAGTTCTCCATGGCATCTCTGCTTGCGGCGCTGTCCTCCCCAAAAGAGATAAAGAGACAAGAGAGCGACCTCCTTTTTAAAGACTGATTCTTGCAGTCCTTAACTACAACTCCCATCACCCTTAACCCTGAGCATTTAATTATTGCAGGTAAGAGCTCACACGGGTACTCTCTTCCTCTCTCCGCTGACGGCGGCCAGTATTACAGTGTGAGCGTGCCCAGCAGGGGAGAGGGAGGCACGTTTC